GAGATTTATGAAGTCCGGATGACCAGAGTCTATTCGTGTTCAGCGGAAGAGGATCTATACATATAGGTTTTTGCCGATTTGACAAGGGAATTGTACTCGGCGCCAAGATAGCGCGATTAAAGCCAATGGATGCAAAGCGTAACGCTCGAATATTCACATGCCTATTCTGTGAATTCGCGACATTGAAATTGCAATATGTTGCAAACTGTTGCGCTATATACATACATGTGGTTTTCCGTGGATCAACCGGACAGGCACCTCAATCCGCAGTGGCGCCAACGTGTTATTATACGCTATAAGTGTAGCTCGCCGACATGCGGGAGATCGTTGGTGAACGAGGTGATTACGCTTCAATACCATACTGCACCGGGGGAATCGCATTGTTATACCTCCGTTTCCCTCTTGAGATTTAGTCGTGATAAAAGAGCGCATAATCCTGGTAATTCTGGAAACATTATTTCTTATCATCATCCCCACATAGCTCGGTCCCAATTTGTCCAAGCTCGGGGCTTAAGAAATTCGTCGAAGAAGAACGACGAGAAGCGCACGTGGTCATGTGGAGTGAGGCGTTATCTCATTACTGATTACCGTTCTGATACAAATATGATGTCAGATTTCATCTGGCGGTAACGTGATCTCCGAGAATTGGGCGTCTGACGAGGGGGATATATGTTGATCGGGGTATGAGAGTGTGGAGAAGTAAGGATTCAAAGGCTCTCGCGGGGCATGATACATATAGGTAAATGAACAAAAATCACTTCGCGCAGAGTGAAGGGAATGATTTAGCACATGTAATCAAATAGACATTTCCGACAAGCATAGATGCCATTTCTTGTTTAGCTGAGTACGCTTTCGTAGACTTAGCGACGCGCGTTGTGATTGACTGCGGCGGAGCAGGACAATTCAATCGCGGCGAATGAGTCACGCGCTCACGCGGCGGGCAGCCGTCGCGCGCGGCAGTTCATGCGGGCGATTTTTGCATGGACTTGGGCTTATTGGTCCTTCGTCCGTCAGTTAGCGGTGGGGTTAGGAACTAATAAGACCAACGAGATGCCAGAGCCAGGCAGCGTACATTAAGGATCTCCGCAGTTGTTAAACCGACTGTGATATCCGTTATCCAAGGGTCCTCTATGAAAATTATTTGACTATTGTTACATCAAACTGTCTGAAGGTTATAGAGAGCGATTGAACGCTAGTCAAGAATAGTTTGTTTAAGGCACACTGGAACGGTGAGAGGTAAATTATGGTTGACGATTATGGACAGAGCAAGTTTGTATAATAATTGGCAAGGGACCAGGTGTGTTTTGAAGGAAAGGCAGGTGTTTGGGGGGGAGGACAGGTGCTTGAGATGTGGGGCAAGATCTGGGCTGAAGATGGTTCTTGAATATCGTGCCAGCGCCTCCTGCTTTTCTTTGGAGTTCCTTCGGAGGGTACATTTTCGTCAGAATTGATGTTCTTAGTATTTAATGTTTCGTGATGTTTCGACTTGGGCAGAGTGTGTGGCGCGGTTTGCAAGGACAAATAGCGTGGCAGAGAGTCTGGGGCGGTGTGTGGCGAGGTGCTGGTGCTCTGCTTGTCGATGGGTGCAGGAGTTGGTGGGGCTTAGAGGTGGCCAGCTTTTGCGGCAGAAACGGCTTCTTTGTCGGCATGCTTAGCTGCTAGATATCGGCGACGATTTTCGATAGGTTCTTTCGGGTATAGCCTCTATCTTTCAGGTTCTTTTTCATTAAATCGTTCGGTCCTAGCACGCTTTGCTGTGTCGATTTCCGTCGCCCAAGGTTTTGTTGTGCGAGTGTTCGAACTGACGGATTATCGGGTCGGCGCACTTTTCCGAAGTTATGACGATCAACAGTAGTGCTGCCGGCAACTGAGTGTTGGATATTACGGCGGTGTGGTTGTTCTGTTGGGCGGAGGCCGGCGGTCGTTGATGTCGCGGCTGGGTTGCGCTCAGGGGGGCTCGAATGTTTGTGGGTGGTGCGGAAGGTGATGCGGGGGGGAGTGAGCGAGGTGTCTTGAGCGTAAATTTCAGCTCGTGTGGGGGTGTTGGGTGGTGTGGGGGATGTGTCGTATATCGGGGGCGAGCGCGTGTGTGGTATGATTGCGGGGAGCTCGCTCGGATCGCGGTGGGTGGACGGGGCGTGATTTGGTAGAGTTGGGGCGTGTGGATGTGCTGGTAGGGTAGAAGTGATGTAGGGGAGTGGGATGCACGGGGTGTTCATAAAGTGTTAGTTCACCGGTGTGAGATCTCGAAGCGAATTTGGTTACTTAAGAAGTCGTCGCCATCGTTGTTAGGTGACCTATCCAAGTCCCCGTGGCAGATGCACGTTTTCGCCGGTTGGAGTGCGAGTGACCGTAGGTCCTGCGACAATACAGACTCTTCTGAAGATAAATCTGTGGTCTTTTACCAGCAAGTGTCCAGAAATCGTTTTTTGGCTCGCTCAGCAGCCGTTCTGTGGAGCTATGCCGAGGAGAAAGAAGTGTATCGCTTAAGTTCGATGACGACAAACAATCTTCTTTAGACGAGGGTCGTCATAACAGACACGCTTACGAGGCGAGTCACGTGGGACCGGATTGAGGAGAAACCACATACTCGACCGCCCCTGGGGGTTCGTTCTAGCGAGAACCGCCCAAAGAACGCTGTAAAGCCGTTGCGGAGGACCAGGATCTCATTGAGCTGACAGCAGCGGCCACTCGATTATCTGCACGGCACAAATCAATCCGTCGCGGGCCTCGGAGGCGTTCTGCTAAATCGTACGAGCGGCCGTTCATGGTGCCAGAAATTTTAAGGGGCGGTAAGCCAAGGGCAGCGAATCTTCGTGCGTTGCCAGGACTTAGTTGGAAATGATTAGTTGCCCCGACGGCCCCGGGGCCTTGGTCGGAGGACCATCGCATACTTTTCAACATAGCGCGCGCGGCTTTAGAGTGCGCGTCAGTTTCTTCTGTGGACGCTCGTGAAGCTTTATTCTGGGAAAATAGCCATGATGTCATTAAGTCGAGGAAGAATAGTGCGTGGATATTCTATTGACGCGCCTGATCCGGGGGACTGTCGCCTGATTTGCATGTCGCGTCAGCTCAGCCCCAAAGTGAAGCAGTTCCAGTGCAGCCGTAGTTGGAGGGGGGCGGAGGGGTGTGTGTGGGGGGTCAGTACGGTGGCGTTGAGAATGCCTGCAGTGATGCGCAGAGGGGGGGTGCTATTGTTACCCGCTGGGGAGAGATCGGAGCCGATTGATACGTAGATCATCGCGGGGAGGACAAAAGTAAGATCGGAACTCGCATAATAGGCCAGAGTATTCCAATACAATTGATTTCCGTCACCAATACTTTGTGATTTAGGCAACACGGGTCCGCTTAGCATTCTTAGTGGACTTAAGTGTTTCAACCACACAAGTGCAAAGGGTCCGAATTCGCACGGTGTTTAGGAGATTGTAGTGCTTGCAAGTAAGTGTCGCAAATCCAACGAGATGTGAACGGCACAGCGGGCATGTCCAGAGTGGGCACCAGTGTGGATGCGCGCGGCATTTCACAGCTAGGGCGCTTTGTTAATTAACGAATCTATAATTGGAAGAAGTAGGGGTTTCTGAAGAGTTCCTGTCAAATTACAGAGAGGAATCACATACTTACAACAGAAACGCCGCCTTCAGCGTCAAATTCACAAGCATGTAACCTATTAAGTTAGAGACCCGCTAAACAATTGTAACACTTTTCGCAGAGAGAAAGCACCGAGGATTTAGAATCTGTCTACTTCAGTATGTATCCGCTCCTGAGGAGCTATAGTGTTGGATAGTGCGTAATGTAGCGAAGTACCTTTGGCGGGTACTCAGGGACAAATCCGTCAAGGGCTTTTGTAAATAGTAACGTATATTAGCTAGTTTTATTGTCTTGAAAGAGCAATCTCTATTTATGATGACGTCATTAACTTTCAAGATGCATGAGTTTGTAACGGGTTTGGCTTTGAAAGCGTAAAAACTCGCACTCTCAACGAATTTTCTCGGTTAATTTTCCAAAATCCTCAACGTGCCAGTTTTGAGTACTGACTATAATAAGCTGCTTTAACGACGTTCGATGGAGAAATCCATCTAAGTTTTGATGGTGATTGATCGTGATCAATTTTGATTGGACGGAGATGAAGGCAGGTTGAACTTTCTGTATTTCCGAGTATGATTGATAAGCTTTCACAGTATCACAAATCAGCTTTCAGATTGAAAATTCGTGTAGACTTGAGGAAAGTTAGATATTGTGAATGATTTGGTTTGCAAATTTTCATATAGTTAATAAGATGTCAACGAGTCAACGCCAGTCAACACACAGCTGGCGAAGGCTTTTACAAGGCTTCCTTTGAGCGAGGGGGACGTGTAAATTGAGAACCATAATCTGTGTAGTACTAGAATTTGGTAACTCTTGTGGAGGAAATAAACAAAGAAGAGGTGTTGTCATAGCACTCCATTTCTAGTGACTAGTTTGACGATTTTTGCTCCGTTTCTCGTTTGCTCGTTTCGTGGGACTCCTCAATGAAGATCACTCTTTGTTTTGTACTTATTAAACGAATATCTTTTGTGGACGGTGGGGTAGCAGGGTTTTTTTATGAGCAGTTTTGGTGGAGAATTAAACAACTTTTTCATAGTTCGGATTTTGAAGAGGGTTGTTTCATGGACTTCGGCCTGAGGGAGTGGGGGTCGTATTTCCGAATTTTCCTCAACACCTCGCTTGACACTGCTTGGAGGAGCGGACCCCATCTCTCACTTCTAGCTGTGGTCAGATTAAATTGTCACAGCTCGCATAAGATATTGGTTGGGAATCCGGACGGTTGCCAATTTCTTTCAGAGATATCCGTCAAGAAGTACTACCCTCCTCTGTACTTTACTTTAAGCTGTCAATTTTATAAGTGCAGTTTTCAAAATGGCACAAGTCTGGAATAGTTATGTTGTGTTCGTTCAAAAAGACATAGGAGATTTTGTGACATATTTGTGTCCTGGGTTTCTGATTAATCGCTTTCCTTGAGGACCTCTGAGCGGGCTAACAACGAAGGTTCACAGAACCGCGCCGGTCCTAGTAGCAGTCTTCCACGTCATCGACCAGTGGGGCCGACTTTTTCCTCATCGAAACAACAATCAAGTAGCCTCCTCCAAAACGCTACTTCAGGCGAAAAAGAAAAGATTGGAAAGGACAGGAAGGAGTGAGTGGCTCCTTATTTTTTTTTCGATATTCAGTTAATCTGGTAATGTCTCTGAATTTGGTAGTGATCTGTAGTAGCGTGTTTTTTTTTTCGAAAACCATGTTCAGTGCGCAGTTCCCGTTCAAGCACACATCAGACTTTGCGACAGCCTTACCGAAGACGGTCCTCACAGCGCGCAGTCCCTAGTCGCTTGCGCCGCAATAAAAGCTTGACGATCAATAACACAGTGTACCGCGTCAGTCCCGCCGACTTCGAGCTTACAAGTAATGGAAAATTGGTCGATCCGGCCACTTGCAATGAGGTGTGGTCCGATGCACGCCTTGCGACGCTGACCTCATATCCGTTTTTGGTTTTTGCCGAACGATTCTCTGAACGAAGTTATGAGGGGTTCTTCTTACTGTGGCTATCGTGGCGCCGTCTACATCCTCATATCCCTTTTGGCTCGCTTAAAAACAGAACGAACGAACAAACGATAACGAAGTAACTAATTATAGCGCTTCCTGGGCTTGTATGAGCAGCCTTGAAAAAATGCAAAAATTTGCTATGGGCATGATTCGAACACTAGACCTCATCCCTATGAAGCAAGAACGCTATCCACTAGACCACTAGTTTCACTCTATGAGATGCTGTGCGGCTCTTTCAACGTATGCCAGTTGGGATAGGGTGATGTAGAGCGCGCCACAATGAGGAGATTCTCAACTTCGTTCAGAGAATCGTTCAGCAAAAACCGAGAACGGATTTAAGCTCAGCGTCGCAAGACGCGTGCATGGGACTACTCCTCATTACAAATGGCCGGACCGACCAATTGACCATTCCTTGTTAGGAGTCGAAATGGAAACGAATAGGAAAGGGGAGGGAAAAAATAGGGACGAGAGACACATTCTTCGCACCTCATTAAGCTTGCCTCCAACTAAGGTGCGAAGCAATCTTAATTAGGTGCCAAGGCATAGACGTCACAGTGCTTACGCGCTCGTCTGGGTAAGGCGATTTAAAATACACTGCGTCCCATAATTATACATCCACCTAAGAATTTCCCAAAATCTCACAGATATGGATGTTCGGAAAAAAGTCTCCAATGTATATAAATATATAAATGCGGGATCACCAATGAACATCATTCTATTTGAGATCACAGGAATTTTTCCCAATAATTTTCGTGTAAAAGGCCACCCAGCCGACGTCCCAAAATTATACGTCCACCTCACGTTTATCAATTACTTTTCACTTCTGTTCCACGAATCTTTTCCATTGTGGTAACACTTCACTTCTTGAGGGAACAGCATAATAAAGACTGCTGTTGGGTTTTGAGAAAGGGAAAAATGTAGAAACTGTTGAACAACGCATTCGCACCAGGTTTAGTCCAGATTCACACTAGCTTAAGAATTTTTTCAGAGGTTCCACTGAAGTAAGGTTTTTGGTTCTGCCTGTTATGTTTTGGCATTTGTTTGTTTCTCTTCTCACATCCTTTCCCTTAATGGCTTTTTTATTAGTGAAGCACTACTAAAAGAAAGAAAACGTTGAAAAGAAAGGCAAACACTCATGCATAGCAAGGAGAAAGGGACCCTGCTCCAGTCGGCTCGGCTGCACCTTCATGCAAGAATCAGCCCAGTTTTCGTTACGATTCCTTGCCATAAATGAACGTCTTTCACATTTTTCGATCAAGAATGATCTTGGGATTCCTTTACATGCATGAAACAAAAGCCCGTTGAGGCATAACGTTCTCAAGAAAATTCGATGACAGAGCACCGTTAGATGAAAGTGGATGTTCTTCTGTAACACGGCCTTTGTTTCCATCGAAGAGTACTGAGAGACTTTTAGAGCTCTTTTAAACTCCATATCATGTAAAACCTCTAAAAAATTCTCAAGCTTGGTGTGAATCTGGACCAAATCTGGTGCCATTGCGTTGTTCGACAGTTTTTGCGACATTTCTCCCTTTCTCAAAATCCAGCAGTCGTTATTATGCTGTTCCCTTAAGAAGTGAAGTTTTACCACAATGAAAAAGTTTTGTGGAACAGAAGTGAAAAGTAATTGATAAACGTGAGGTGGACGTATAATTTTGGGACGTCGGCTGAGTGGCCTTTTACACGAAAATTATTTGGAAAAATTCCTGTGATCTCAAATAGAAAATTGATGTTCATTGGTGATCCCGCATTTATATATGACACATTGCTACATTGGAGACTTTTTTCCAAACTCTATATCTGTGAGATTTTGGGAAATTCTTATAAGTGGACGTATTATTATGGGACGCAGTATAGATTCAATCGGGAAACTTTTACTACAGAAATTCCATACATTTGATTAGAAGCACCCAAACAAATGGATATATTATAGTTTTTTATTATAGTTCGTCAAGAATATTATAGTTTTGCTGGTAACATATCTTGACATTTTCTTGCACTAGGACTCCATTTCCGTGCAGGAAGGGTGTCAAAAAAGGCCATTTTCTGCATTGGGCTTATCACGACTTTCTATCGCACAGGGTGCCGTTGATGGAAGTTTTACAGCATCTCTTCATAAGCAAGTAGACCCTCCCTCACTGCGCCCACCGTCTCCATAATGAAGTCATCTGTTGCCGTCGAACTCTTTCACCCAGCTCAGTTCTGAAGGTACTACAAAATTTCTTTCCTTGATCGGTTACCTCATGATAGGCTTCCTACAGGCAATAGCTCTGACTATGAAGACTTCTGTAGTACAAATATTCTGACTGTCAATAGGTGGGAGAGGAGGGGGTTATCCAGGGGTAAGTCGTAATAATAAAGAATTGTGAGGGGTCGTGACTTATAAATGTACTGCTAATGGCTAGAACAGCGTTTTTCTGGTGCGAGTAGTACATTTGAACATTTATTTATCCTGCCGTTCTTCCATGAAAACATAAATTCCCGACATCGACCTGGCCTCATTCCACCCTCCACATCTTTCAAACCATCCATTTTATTTTGTTATCGCATCTGAATCTACTGCACTATTTAAATTCTGTACTTTAGGCTAAGCAGGACACTGCTGATCAGATCACTGTTATTGGTTCACAATTTCATTGCTGATGCATGACACAGACTTTGTGTCCTAGATTGCCTTTTTGCCTTTTTTTGTCGTACTTTCACCGAAAGTAGCTTATCCAATATGCCAATTTCTCATATCGACTTCTGGAGACGGGTGCATAGCGTAGTGACCTCTGTGCCTGCGCAGCTAATTAAGATGGCTTCGCACCTCAGTTGGAGGCGTGCCTAATGAGGTGCGGAAAACGTGTCCTTCGTCCCTATTTTCACTGACCCATAAAAAGGGATATTGGTCCATCCTTCAGCACGTTGGCGACATCGCGCGTTCGGGTTTTATACCACGTAGGAGCGGCACGATTTCGTGAGCGCTATGGCCTCACCTCACATCCGCGGGTGAGTGGGAAGTGCACAAAACCCTGATGATAAAATAATTCAACCGTGTTAAATTGGCGAAGGTTATCAGAGGGCAAAATGGTAGAATATCGGCGAAAAGGACGTGCTGTGGAGCTGATCTCTATATGGAACGCTGCTCCCAAGTGTTCTCCATATTTCACGGTTTATTTTCAGTCAGAAGGGTCGTTTCAAGAAAGCTTCAACTCCCCCTCCTCTCATTCCGCCTGCTGTTCCTGGGAAAAGGTAAGACCGCAATAACTTCATGAACCTGTAGGAGTTCGATGAATTGCCTCGTTTTGGTATTTCTATGCCTTCTCCTTATTATCTGCGTCGTTTACCGTTTCTTTTGCGTTGCAATAACTTCTTTTAAGTTGAGAACTAGAGACTCATATGATATAACTTAAATGTATAATTACGTTGACGTTTGTACATGAATATTGAATATTCGTTTTCTGTCAGCAAATTCGCTTGGTTTTAGGTACCTTCCCGGCGACATCCGATACAAACAAGCTATGGGGGCTTCGGAACTGAGTGCATCTTCGTCAAAACCATCTAAAGGTACTCACTCATTTCTTATTTTCCATCCTTAATGCTGCGACGCTTTCATATTAAGAACAACCCAGCTCGTCAAAAGTGTTGTCGAAGTCTGACTTGTATCCGAAGCATGTTGAGGACAGACCAGGCAGCAGAAAAACAGAATTGGATCGCAGTCGTAGCTTAGTGAAACGAGAGTCTAATTGTGATTTCTCGAGATCACGAAGCCATGTTCCCCGGTAATCTTCAAAATTGATTTTAGTGCGAATGTTTCAGTTTTCCACTAGTAATTACTATTTCTCACGCCCTAATGATTAAGTAAGCAGCATGATGCTCAACCGCGTGAACGAAAGCAGGAACGTGATCGTGAACACCGTGACCGAATTAGTGACAGAGAAAAGTGTCACAGTTACAATCGAACATATGACTATGACGTCACTGACGAAGACGACTACGATAGCGAGATGGATGATTTCATAGATGACAGTGGCTTAGATATGGAGGAATTAAGTCGACAAGAGTTCGAGGAAACGCTTAAGTGAGTCCACAATATTTTTTGTGAGTTCAACTCTTTTATGGCTTGCGAGGCTTTAGCGACAGAATCAACAATCTTACCAGGAAAGGCCATTAGGCCAACCCGGCCAAATGAAATGAAGTGCACACTTCTGTACGCATCATGACAGGCTGAGCTCAAATTTGTCCTCATTATCTGCTAAACTCTTCTCTGAAAGGAAACAGAGAGTTTGTTGCCACCCTAGATTTTCAGTGTCTTGTCTAAAATCACTTGTAAGTTGGATTATAAAAGTCACGAAAGAAGTGGCGAACACTTCACGTGACGAGTTTCCGTAGCGCAGAGGCAACGGTCTGGCTTCTCAAGAAAGTGTTTGTGGGTTTGGTTCCTCCCAAGGTTTAGTGTTTTTCCTTTTCGCAACGTAGCTAAGAAGCGTTTTTGAATCCGTTATTTTATCGGCGGTCGCCCGACTACATCTACGGAGAGTTCGCAAGCAGATCCCTTAAATTTTAAGCACTACTTGTCCTGGAGTGCCGAAAGTGTCCGTAGTGCAGATGCTATGCTTTTTCGTGGCCAGAAGGTACGATATTCGTATTCAGGGGATCGGACTACCAAAACCAGTTTCTCGCCAAATCTAAGGTCATGAAATAATTGAGAAAAAGGGAAGCAGTGATGGGAGTACCACTACTCAAATTCCACTTTTTTGGGTTGATAAATCGTGGACGACAGGGGAGAGTGGAAAGAAGGGGTTGTATCTGGAAATAATGTATTGCAGATGTCCGGTGATGGCATTGGCTAGAGGTTTGTCGAAAGGGAAAGTCCGACTCCCTCATCACACTTGTGCGAAAATGATTGGAGCCTGCGCTGTAAGCCCTAAATTAGTGAGGAGCGATGCCGCCCAAATTCTTTAATAGGCCTTAAATTCTTGGTACGGTTACTGTACGCAAGCACATTGGACTAGCGATGTTAGAAATCTTTCTAGCTACGCTACTGTAAGCGGCAAACGATTAACTCGCCAAGGTGCCAATCCCATGATCTGTTTTCCGCAAGCCACGACCACTGCCCCTGCGCTTTTCGGCTTCATAATTCCTTTCAGCGAACAGTTTAGCGGATAAGCAGGTAAGGAAAGCATATTTAACCTCAGCGTCCCAAGGCTCGTATAAGCATATACATCTCATTTCTACTGGCGTTGACCAAATGACCTTTTTTTGGTAGGCCTGATTCTGAAACGAAAGATGGTCAAACAATAGAAGGCAGGAAGGACAAGTGCTGTAGCGGAAGGGTGGAATGGCCGGAAAAATATCTGGGGTAGTTGTTTATCCAGATAATGCAGCAGAAACTCTTCCTTGTGTTTTCTTCTTGAAGGGAACGATCATGCTGGCTTCGAGGCAGGGTCAATCCGGAGAGGTCGTGTTTGGGTCAGTTTGGGGGGAGGGGTCATACTCGCGGGGGTCGGCAGGGAGCAAAGCATCATACTCTGCATAGGCCCAGCCATGAAGAACAATACTTGCAGAAACAGCAGCCGCGATCATGTAGCTTGGTTATAAGAGTGGTCGCACCATTTTTAGTTCTAACCGCGAAACTAAGGTGAAATTGGAGCGTTGCCTGAACAAACATGGATTGTAGCCACCACTTTATGTTCTCGCAAAATGACTGATACCAGAGCATCTATAAGCTCACGCTTCCTTCCAAATCGATTTTCAAATGAATCAGCGAATTAGAAGCGCGACCTAGACGTGGCGCCCACCATAGCAGGAGATGCCAGCGCAAGCGCATGCTAGAAGTTTTCTAATCCATTTTAAGGTCAGCATGGAATTCGTTTCCCAGGAAGCTGCGACAAGTGAAACCTAAAAAAGCCCGCGTTTTCGAGAAAACGACTTGAAGAATGCCCTTCCAAAAAAGTCCCAACGGGACTTATTTTTGAACTGGGATTTTTTTTAAAATTACTTTTTCTTAGAAAGCTTGAATCTTGAAGTTTGTTGTACAGTGCGTTGCAGAATCATAGGACACCCCCTAAAAATATGAATATCTCGGCTTGTAGAGGAAGCCGTCCATCGCAACTGGTAGAATCAGAACCGCCTCCATAAAAAACTTATAAAAACAAGTAGCCAGATCATCCGAATAGTTCTCCGTATTTTTAGACGATTTTTTTAGTTTTGTAGTCGTTGCAAAATTATAGGACACTCCTCGGAACTCTCTTTACAGTTGGATTTTTTATCCATCCAGCAACGATGGTAACACTTGTCCGGTGTATGGTAATTCTATTAGAGTTACGGTTTGAGTTGCTCCCTTTCCCTCCGCGAGTGAAAGCCAGACTTTCTTTTTATACGCGCCCGATTTCTCTACCTTGAGCATTGAAGCATTTTTAGGAGCTAAAAGAAAACCATAGCTTGGTGCTCCAAATTCTCACAACGAATAGAAATAAGAGTGCACCAGAATAAATAGCAGAACTTCTAAAAGGCTTAGCTATAACCTCGAAGATTATATCGAAGGAAATCACCATGTACGGTCAACCTGTGTCAGCTCTTCGAAAGAAAGAGGATAGAAGGGAAATCCTATTGCAAGATCACTGATATGGACAACTAGCGTGAGGTCCTGCGAAGCGTGCTGCCATGCTCGTTAGGCGTTCTGATTGAAGTCAAAGAAGAGAAATCTAACGAAAGACTGGGCCGAAGCTGGGCTCTGTTGAAGAATTTTTTATTCAAGATAATAAGTAGTTCGTTCCTTTCAGACCGCGCTTCTTCGGTAATGAGTAGTTCGCCCTTTTTCGGCACCGCCTGACACACATGGGGTGTCAGGCCCAATTTGCTCCCTGTGGCCGCCTGACACACATGGGGTGTCAGGGACTTCAAGGAGTAATTTTTGCGAGGATTCGGTTTTTCTACAAAATGTTTTTTGTTGTTAAATATCTATGTAACATACTTATGCCGTACGTATGAAAAAATCTGGACTACAATCTCGAAATAGGTCCTAAACTAAAGGAAAACTAAGTTAACTTCCACTTCGTTCTTGAAGAAAACAGTTATAACTCATTTGAAAACAATTCATACAAAAGCAATCATGACATTTTGTACACGTCGTAGCTGATACTATTGAACCTAAGAGTTTTGGATACTTTTTAATCCCTTTTTCCTCATTACAACTTATTTTGAACAATTTTCACTGCTGCCTTCCTTTGTGTGGCCCTGTCACTTTCATTACAGGACGGCTTTCTGTTATATTTACCACAAATATACTTTAAAAAATGAGAAAGACACAAACGAGAAGAATATTGGTTTTCATGGGAATACAGATTAAATACATGATGTTTATGCTCCCTGAGTAGCGCGCGACGGTGAGCGTAAAAAGGCGCCGGCCACACGCGCCCGCCACGTGAAAAGTGCGCGGTCCGGAAAGGGTTAATCTTGATGGTTCAGATGACTGCTGTTCACTTGTAAAGAAATATGGGCCAGGGCTAATATATTCCTCAACAAAGTTTTCGTGATCGTTTCATAAAGATATGGTGATGCGTAACCTCATTCTGAGTCCTGAAGTTTCTCTTCTCTGGTTTCAGTCGGAACGCCTAACGAGCATGTCCGCACGCTTTGCAAGATCCTACGCTAGTTGTTCATACCAGTGATTTTACTATAGGATTCATTTCTATCCTCTTTCTTTCGTGGAGCTGACGCAGGTTGACCGTGCATGGTGATTTTGTTCGATGTAATCTTCGAGGTTATAGCTAAGCCTTTTAGTGAGCTTCAGCGATTTCTCCTGGTGCACTCTTATTTCTATTCGTTGTGAGAATTCGGAACACTACGCTACGTTTTTTTGAGCTCCTAAAAATGCCTTCGATGCTTATGTTAGAGCCATCAGGCGCGTATAAAAGAAAGTCTGGCTATCACTCTCGGAGGGAAAAGGAGCAACTCGAGCCGTAACTCTGATTATTAATTACCATACACCGGGCAAGCGCTACCATCGTTGCTGGGTGGATAAAAATTCAACTGTAAGGAGATTTCCGAGGGGTTTCCTATGATTTTACAACAACTACAATACTAAAAAAATTGTCTAAAAATACGGAAAACTATTCGAATGATCTGGCTGGTTGTTTTTATAGATTTTTTATAGAGGCGGTTCTGATTCTACCAGTTGCGATAGACGGCTTTTTTCAGAAGCCGAGATATTTTCGGGGGGTGTCCTATGATTTTGCAGCGCACTGTACTGGCTTTAGCTTTCCAAATCAATGACTATGTAAGAAGTTATGATGGTTGAGAAGTCGCATGTGCACGGAAAAAAGCACAGCGTGCTAATTTTTTTATTAATTAACCTATGGAAGAATACTTATTGTTAGCAATGCTTGGAGAAGGGGTAAATCGAATTTTTTCACCTAAGAACCTCGGCGCAAAAAGTTGAATTTGAAGGGAATTATGACCCTCAAAGGGGAAGGTACAAATTGTATTGCAATTTTATTTCTTGCTCAGTAACTTATCATTTTGAATCGTTTGAGCACAAGTAAGCTTCATTCAATAGGCCGGAGTTCCGCTGATCAATCCAACCCCATTTTACGAAGTACCTGAAATTTAATAAAGAAGTACTTGTCTAATTTTATCCCCGTTTGTTGCCCGTTCACTGTCAGCAAACGCGCTCCATCGTCAGGGCGCCAGCGAGCGCGATTCAGCACACTCAAAACGCGATCAGTATCGCTTGGTGTTAGTAGGTAATTCGTTTTCCCGGCCTCCCTATTCGAAATTGAAAGGCTCGGCAGCTCGGTGCTGTGTGTGTTGGGGGAAGCATGCGACGGTGCCGCGGAAAACCCACATGAAGTGGGGGGTCGTAACAATTTTTAAAATACCAACGGTAGGGTTGACCCTGCTTCGAGGTAGAACGCTTACCACGCCTTCTCGACCAATAAGATCTGAAATAGGATGGTTGGACAAGTGTAGCTCCACGGAAGATATATCGAGATCCGTATTGGGGTAGACGTGTCACCGGAAGTGACGTGTACTTGATAGAATCTATGTGGATAAGGTGCTTCCAATATATGTCGCGAGATATCAGCCTGACTTACCTACGCAACCTCTATCAAGTCCACGTCACTTCCGGTGACACGCCTACCCCAACTTACGGATCTCGACTGTACGATACGATAAGATAAGAAAGTACGGCTGCTCGGAATGAGGTGCACTCTAGAGTGGAAATCGGACAAGAAATAAGAATAACAATAACGAATAAAGAATAACGGTATCATGTGTAGAACGTTGTCATTGCAAACACTTCCTCGTCTGATGCATAGTGGTAGGTGCTCACAGGAAGTGGGTCTCAACGCAGAACCCGATGTTTTCAATCAATATCGATCGATAGCCTCTAACTCATCCAGAATCTAACTCCTATGACACTACCCGATTAATGTTGTGATTCGCTTAGTAATTCAGGCCTTTGCACAAAAACCTATGTTTTCTAAGGAGATCCAACGGAAGCCCCGCCCACCTGACCGGGCTCCGCCCACTACCATACCCCTTCTAACCAAGCCCTCCCTTCACCCTACATGCCCTAGGGGCACCTTCCTACCCATCCGAGACCATGCCTAAACTGTTTTCTTGGGTCCACGTAGCGTGCGAGCCCCTGGTTACAAACAGACAAACACATTAAACTGCTGCTTTATATATAAGGTTGTCTCAAAAGTTCGCGCCACTTTGAACATTTTTTGAGTTAACGTTATCTCAACAAAAGCAATGTTTATCATCAACATGTGGACCCTTGCTATCAATGAATTGTTGCCAACGATCCATCAGAGTGCCGACGCTGTGCTCCTAGAAATTCGGCATTTTCAAGCTGGAAAAGGCAGTGAGGTCGATTTCAAGCTCCTTTTTTGAATCGTATTTTTCGTCAGTAAGATGATTACTCAGCAAGATGAATGGTTGGCCTTTGGAGGGAGGCTGATCACCGCTGCCTAATGGATCTGGTTGTACTTCTCAGCTAAGCTTCGAAATCCAGAGCCGTGCCATTTTCGAAAACGTGGTCTCGATTGTCGCGGAGCGGACATACTTTGTTAAATTTTGGGCGTAATAGTTGGAGTTTTCTAACCAGCTTCCAGCCTTGATTGGACGAGACTTAGGCTGTTACAAGACCGAAGCAGTGGAGAAGTTCTCGGTGACTTCTTCAAGATTTGCTCCCCAGAAGACGTGAGAAGACTCAGCTTGCTGTATTTGACAGTTTTTCGAGCCCTTTTGATTACTCTAGCCACTGGTGCTTCCACATAGAACAACCACTTTTCACCAGCAGTAGCGCCATTATTCAGTCGCCGCGTAGGGATGGAATAGGTTAGCTGTTGACAGCTGTTGGCACTCTTGTGATTCACCTGTATCACCTGTATCACCTGTCGTCCCGTTGATCATCGAACTGCTCGAGCGGACGCCAGCAACGTCTCCATTCGTCCCTGTCGCGTGCAAGAGTCGTCCAGTGGACCCTCCTCGCTCGAGAGACACGATCTCCTTCATTCCTTTCGTTCAGAGCTTTCGTGAAGAAGTCTGACCATCAGGCCGACGGTCGTCCAGGTGTTCGTTTGACGTCCCGAGGGATCAGTCGGTAACCGCTCTGGTCCAACGGACATCGCAAAATCGCATGACGTGTCCGGCCCACCTTATCTTCGATTCCTTGGCGAAAACGGCAGCGTCCCTAATCTTCGATCGTTGGCGTAGTTCGGCACACCGGATTCCCCTCTGCACTTGCGTGTATAGAGTTACTCCTAGCATCGTCCTCTCGACGGCGCGTTGGATAACGCTGACCGCACCCTCGTCCTGCCTGAGCAGAGTCCAAGTCTGAGGCGTAGGTTAGGACAGGAAGTACAGCGGAATCGAAGAGGTGGGCACGGAGCCGGATGTTCTTCGTCTTCTTCACTACTCCCTCGATGTTCTTGCACTCTCCCCAAGCCGCTCGGTTTCCTCCTGCTTAGCCCTGGAGCTTAGATATCGTTCCTCTATTGATTTCCCGACTAGGTACACGTACTGGAGCACTCGGTGATGTTCGTTCGCGTTGAGCGTGGCATGGGGCAGTCAGACCGCAATCCGTTTTCTCATAAACATGTCTTCGTTAGGTTCCAGCCGTAGACCAAGCCCAACCCTTGGTCGTCAAACTTGCTGTAGAGCTGCACTGAAGAATCTTGGATGTGCTGAGTAGCGGACGCCCTGGTTGCCCCAAGGCTTCGATGACCGCTTCTGTCTCCACAGCGTCCGAAGGTCCTTCTTCAGGTCGAATGAACGTGAGACAAAGCGGCATCTTTTACTCTCACGCGGTGAAACTCCTCGATGCTCTGTAACCACGGTTGTGAGTATGGTTCGACCGCGTGCTGAACTCCTCTTGAAACCACCTCTGCTCGCTCGGATGGCTGTCCTTCCATCCCGTATTCTGCTCGATTCCGCTGTTTGAGGATGACTCGAACGAGATCGCTTATAGATTACAGACAGCATACCATTGGGCGATAACTAGGCCCATGTCGCTCCAGGTTCCCCCTTCTCTGTACAGAACAACCGTTTCTGGTGTTTCCATCGAGTGGTCACCACTTGCCATTCTCACAGGTGTGCGCTGAAGAGTCGAGCCAGGAGTTTTGATGATTAACCTGGCGTGCATTCTTCAGGTGTTCCGGTTGGCCTTGTCGAGAGACGCCGGGTGCTGTACGCTTCTTCACCGACTTGATTAGCTTGTCGACGTTCGGAGAGAGAAGGAGGGGGCAACGTATCCACCTCTTGCGGTTGTAAGTAGGCAGATGGACATGGTATCGAAGAAGATCGCGAATAGAAGTCGTGGATGACTTTCCCCATTCCCTTCGTAATGCCTGTAACTGTTCCCTCCTGACGTTCGGAGGCAAGGTCATCTTTGGTCTTGTAGCTGCGAAAGCTTCGGCGGGCTTGCGGACGCTCCTCCGCAGCCTCTGCTGCTTCCTCCTGCTCTCACGCTGCTCTTCGCTCTTAGAGATCCTTCCCTTTATCGGCCTCACTGCATAGCTTACGCGCTCGACGTGGCGTTGGTGATGCCATCAGCCTCGTGCGGCTCCACGTTGGCGTATCAGCTCGAGAGTTTTCGTAGACAGACGTCGTTTGGTGGCTTGCAAACTCTCTGCTTCCTGCCACTCTCGCGGAGGTGTTCAACGAGCCAATAAAATTCCTCGTCAATGTTCTCGATAACGAAATCCTCCCATGAGTGACAAGAGAAGTGAAGTGATCCCAGTTGACTCTTGTGATCACCGGTAAATTCATGGAGATTTCTTGTCCAAGCCTCTATAATTTTCCAAAGAAGTGCAGGACTCTATCAAGCGTGTCTGAAACAACTAAGTGTGACAGTCACATAGCAGTAGAACTCGTGCGGGTAGCTTATGATGGGGAGCACAGCAGGTTCAAATCGGACACTGATTGCCTTTCCAGGTCAGGATTTTCTCAAGACTGTAATCTCAAGAGAGAAGCAGGTTGCACCATTTTGATAGCTCATAGGGAATGACGACGAAAAGGTGTACACAAAGCAAATTGAACTCCTGGATTCGACCGATTTGTGGCTCAGCAGATGGCCATAATTCAAAGTGTAAAAACATGGCTCCCTTCGTTTCGATTTCGAGTTCGAGGAAAGCAGCTAAGGTGGGCTAGGCTCGCGTATAGATTACTCCACGAAGTGGGCTTTTTGTAGCCTACTGCTCATATTCAGAAATCGCTAGATTTAGTTTTGGCCTGAGGGCCAGAAAGGTGGCATAATAAAAAAAAAGAAAAACCAAAGATAAAAGAAAGCCTAATATAAGAGAATACCAATATTTCAGAATGGTGAACCCAAAGTATAACAAGAAGAAATGGAGAGAACGCGAGCAGACTATCAGTTTGAGAGACATGCACGCCGACTATCGTACTATTGCAAGAGAAGAAGCAAGATCAGCTAGAATTGGACTGATAGAGGACTTGCACGAAGCTACGAAGGGCAAGAGTGAGGCTCTGTAGAACTCTCGTAGGATAGTATTCTTTTTTCTACGTTTTCGGACTTCTAGTCGTAGGTCAACTGTGATTCTTCAGACTTCGTTTGAAATGTTGGCTGTGTTTCCTGTTCTGTTTTTTCACTCACTATTTAGCTATAATAATTCTTTTTATTCATTTTCTAATGTATTTCTCACAAATGTGCGAAATCTGTAGCCGAAGAACTCAGGGGCATCATAACAGAAGGACTATATGATTCTCAAAATACTATCTGGATCAATTCCGCAAGATTTGAAAGTAATGTTACACCAGTGTCATTTTCAGACTTGCGCGATCTGCATGAACTCACCTCTGTGTAATCTTTGAGAGCTCGAAGGTAAATTATAGCAGAACAGAAGAAAGAGAAAGAAACGTTTAAGGGAATCTCAATTACAATACAAGACTGCATTATACCTCCTCGCTCCTACGTCTGAATTGTCCGTTACCGTCCCGTTTACCATTGTTCGTTTCAAAGACATTCAGTCGAAAGTAATGGTCAGAGTGGTTGCTGAAAAGTTTCCTGCACATTAATTTTTCTTAGCATAACGGAGAGCTTGGAACATTTCATGTTTTCCAGTATTTTTGAATTCTTGAGTCTTGAGTATTGAGTCTTTTGAATAAGTCAATCTAAAAATCTCCCTCAAGGACAGAAAACGCAATGTTCGCAAATTTATTTGTTCTGTTTATTATATAGAGTAATAATATCATAATAATATAATGATAATCATTCATCAGCGAACTCTATGCCTTACTGCTACTGTATATGTAAAGTCCATTAATTCTTTGGGGAATCTCCAAGTCTTCAGTTATCAGGCTCTTAGAATTTTCATGAATGGTGGGAGCAACAGCTGTCGTTTCCGTCGCTTCTGAAAACCAAGGAGGGTGCCGCTTGTTCCCCACCAATGCGAGAATTTATTTTTTTATACGTATTTTCCAAGAGCTTGCACGCCAGGATTTTATGTCATCCTCTCATTTTTTCGAACTTTGTTATGTCCGTTACTAGTGCAGAGGCACGATACATGGTCAGATAAAGAGCTGTGATCGATCGATCCTTCGTGCTAACTCCTGATGCTCTTAATAGAGGAGGAGATAGTCAAAGGCATAATATTTCAGTATTCTAACGAAAGTTCACTAGTAAAAGGGAAAACGATAGCGAGAAAGCTGCCGATTACTTTGGCTGCCCTGAAAACTGAAAAACGAAAAGTTTAGATGCTGTCGTACTTTCTCCATCTGTGTTTCTAAGTCTGTAATCCTCCCAAATTTGCTACGGGAAGCACTATTCATTGGTATGCTTCCCCTATCTGTTCCACTGAGCAACTGTGAAGAGAATGTGGGAGATTCCGGCGCTGTAATAGTGGAGCAGTTCAATTTTAGTGCAGAACAGGCTACGGTATCAACATTTCTAGCCAAGCCGGGAAGAAGAAGTTCCATGGTTGTTGAAACACTTCTCACAAGGCGAAAGGCAACTCTTCTTTCTCTCCTCCTCTATTCAAGAGCATCAGAGTTTTAGCGAAGGATCGATCGATCAGCTCTCTCTTTTATCTCGACGTGTATCGTGTCCTCGTGCACTAAGCTAACGGACATAAACAAATGTCGAGAAATGACGAGGATTGCCATAATCTGCGGCGTGCAAGTTTTATTTTTGGGAGAAATAGCTATAAAATTAATAAATTCTCACATTGGTGGGAAGAAGCGGCACCCTCCTTGGTTTTCAGAAAGCGACGAAATACGACAAGCTGTTCGCTCCACCATTATTGAAAATTCTAAGAGCGGATAACTGAAGGACTTGGAGATGTCCCAAAAGAATTAATTGGACTTTACATATACGTAGGCATTAAGCATAGGAGTTCGATGATGAATGATTTATCATTATTTATTATGACCAGATTTAGTCCACCCGTCACACTTCGGGAATCCTTCCTTTCATGCACGTCAAGACTTTTGTCTCCGCTATGGTCACTTTTCCTCTGATGACACACACCTCCTGGAAGTGACGAGTATGCAACACAATGGTGTTTCATACACTAGAAGTGCGACACCACATCATGGCCTCTCCGCGCCTCAGATTTTATCGCTTCCTTCTTTAACATCCTCATTCCTCTCTCACTGCCCTCCAGCATGCCACTGCGGCACCATGTGGAATGCACGGAAGTGTTGCTAAGTACGGGTTCTGATATTAGCCCTAGAGTGCTCTATCAAACTATCTGCCTAAAAACATTGTATCTCTAATTCTGTAAGCCTACCCGAATTTGATTACTCCGCGTTTGTTTATCCCCATTGCACGGGATCTCCACCTCTCTCCACTCACTTCATTTTTTGCGGACAACGGCCCAACACCCTCTCTACCACACACGCCACAACACACACTTACACGATACACCCAAACCGACACTCACAACAGTTTAGCGACTTCCATAACTGGTAATAGAAGCGCTACTATCATTAATCTATCCCATATAGAACGACACCATGAACTTAGCCGCAAGCCATTGCGTTCTTCTCCCATTCGAAGGCACGCCTTTCCTAGATCTGCACTTTAGTCACACCCACAGACACTCAACCCTACCTCCAAGACCTTCCCGCAAAGCAATTCCCACAAGCTCTCAACGAACAAGATCACTCTGTAAACATGAACCTCCGTTCAAGCCTCTCCGTTATGACTAAGGAAAATTAAAATGTTCCAGGAAACTTTTTTCAGCAACACTCCCTGCCACTAATTACTTCTCGACTGAATGTCTTTGAAACGAACAATGAGTTAAAATTCAGCGCGACGGTGCCCCCCGGACAATTCAGACCGTCGGACGAGCGCACCCCCCGGTCCCTATATGCCCAGTCATTGTATTCTGTAATTGACCGATTCGCTTAAACGTTTCTCTTCTCTTTTATTCTGTTATGCCTACGTAATTTACCATCAGACGGCTCTCAGCTTCACACAAAGAGTTGGTTCCTGCAGACTCGCGCAGTCTCGGCAACAAATGAATCTGATCGTCGTAGCCCTAACATACTTTCACACCTCTTCCGGAATTGATCCACGATTCAGATTTCGAAAGATGCCATACCCTATAGTCTTTCTTCGTTATTCGATGACCCCCTCCGAGTTCTCTCCGCGCTACAGACCTTCGCCCACATTTTTGTGAGCAAATAATTAGCACATCGATAAAAGCGCCAATCTACCGCTATAGCCTAAATACCGTGCTCCCGTCGCAAAACACAGAACACGCGAAAAACACCCACGCCAACCACTTTCGCCGCACACGCTCCGAAGCATCACAGCCTTGGCACCTGACGCACTCAGCCACAGGTCTCAGCGCACAGATAGCCACCAATAGCAATACTATCCTCAACCGAGGTTCTACAGGCTCACTCTCTGCTCTGCGCACGCCGTAATGTCGTTGCAGTCTTATCAGCCTACACCATTCTAGCTGATCTTAGTTCCTTTCTCTCGTGCCCCAATAGTACGACAGTCCCAGGCGTTGCATGTCTCTTCCAAACTGATCAGTCTCGCTCGCGTTCTTCTCATTTCTCTTGTTTACCTTGGGCATTCCATTCTGACAAATATTGGGTATTCCTCTCTACTATCCTTTTACGGCTCTCTTTTATCTTTTCTGGTTTTTTCTTCTATTTTATCTCTTTCTAATATTAGCCCACCCTTTCTGGGCCCTTCCAGGCCAACCACTAAATTTCTAGCCGACCTTTCTGCAATCATTGCCGCATGCTAGGCTACAAAAAGCCATTCGTGACCAAGTCATCATACGCAGGCAGCCTAGCCACCTCTACCGCATGCTGTTTCTCCCGAACTCGAAATCGCGCCAATACGAAAAGAGCCTGCTGAGCACAAAATCGGCTCGCCGACATCCGGAGTTCATGTGCCTTTGTGTCACTTTTCCGTGTCCGATTTCCTTATGAGCTATTAAAATGGTCAACCTGCACTCTCTCTTTGAGTCAGAATGTCTGTGACGCCACTCCTGGACTGGAAGGCATATCGCCGTGTCGATCTTGTAGACCTTGCTGTGGCTCCCTCATACTGCTACCGCGCAGACGAGTTCCGTTCTGCATGTGACTGCCCCACTTTAGTGCTTCAGAACACGCTTCGATAGCAGTCCTGACACTTTCTTTGGAAACTCATATGAGGCTTGCGCGACAAGAAACTCTCCATGAGATCTTTACGTTCGGTAATCACAAGGACGTCAAACAGGGATCACTTCACACTCTCTCTTGTCACATAACATGGGCAGGCATTCCGTTATCGAGAACAATTGACGAGGAATTTCATCGGCTCGAAATAAACTTGAACACCTTCACGCCGAGCGGGTGGCAGGAGCAGTAGCAGTTTCGAACAGCGCACCAAAACCGCGCTCTCGCCACAGCCGCTCTAGAACTTGAGCTGATACCGACCACGTGGCAGCCGCCCACGAGCTCGCGAGCGCAATCGACACGCCGACGTCCGAGGCGCGAAGCTAATGCAGAGAGGCCGATAAGGAAGCATCTCCAAGGAACCGAAGACAGCAGACACGCGGAAGAGCACGGAGGAAAGCAGAAGAGGCTCGGCCTGGAGGAGCCGTCACCACCGCACCGCCGAAAGCTTTCGCCAGCTACAGACCAAGCCATGATCTTCGCCTCGAACGTCCGGACTGCGAACCGTTACTGCTCCCGCAAGGGCCACAATGGCAAGAAAGTATACGATTTCTATTCGGATCTCTTCGCGATAGCCATGTCATCTGCCCTAATTACAACCGCCAACCCAGAGGCATGGATACGTTGCCCCACATCACTCTCTCATTCGGAAGTCGCGACCAAGTCTATAATGCTCGGCAGGCAACGAAATCGTACAGGCACGGCACTCGACAACGGTCAACCACACATCGGAACCAACCCCTGCAAAGAATGCACCCGCCACAGATCTATCTCAAACTCCTGACGCTCGATCTCTTCACGCGCCGACGTACCTTGTCGCGAATGCAAGGCTACCACTCGTGGACCAGATTACC